AGCGAATATTAAAAACAAAACTACGTAAGTTATGAATTTGGATAATAATTATCAAAATACCGAGTTTGTGTAATGGGTAATATTCCACTTATCACAATCCTCTATAGATTCCTCTGGAGTATATAATTCACCTACATAGTACGTGAAACCTTTAAAATATGATATCTCCTTAATACATCTTCTTTATTAAAATATAACATAACACACTCAAAGAGGTAGGCAGAGACTACGGACTTCCATTTGGCATGACCCTGACATACCTCTCTCGCCTCCTTTATATCCATATATCTACGCATACACGTTCGTCGGTTAAGGATACTTCTAATTGGCGATATTTTGAAAACGGGCCATTCATTTTCAAAATATCGCCAATTTGGTCGATAAACTTTATTTTAGGGCAACCCTTCCCAACTCTGCCGTTCACATCTGCCATATAAATTTTCTACATGGCTAAACCATCGAAGCATTGCTTTCTTAATTCTGGTCACAAAATTATCTTGCATACCACATTTTTCTATTATCATACAATTTCTCAACCTGTCATTCAAATTAAACCCTAGCATAGTCCTTAAAGACCGTATTTCTACAGTCTTTATTCTACTTTTGTGCTTCTTCTGCCACACCCAACTTTCACTACCATACATTTAAGTAGGGATTAACACAGCATTATGAATTATACGTGCCTTTTTGACACATTCTGATTCTTCATAATAGATTGTAGTGCCCCATTCACTATATTTAACGCATTCACTCTATTTTTATACCTTGCTAACAAATACACGAACTCATCTACTTGCTCAATCAACTCCTCTTTTATTTTTATTTCACATAACGTTTTACTTTCTTCTTTTTCAAAAACCATCACTTTCATCTTACTTCCGTTCACATTCATTCCCCTTTCTTTTAATGCCCAGTTCATTAATGTAACCATCATTTGCAACTCAGCCGCCGAAGACTCAATATATAATACAAAAGGCATTTGACGGTTAACTCGACCATTCTTAACCCACATTCTTCATCTTTCAAAGTTTGCAGAGAACTGACCGTAAATATGTTTAACAGCCAAGGGGAATCTGCACAGCCCTGTCTGACACCCTCTTGGATGCCAAATCAGTCAGAGTAGACCCCGTTAATCTTGACGCAAGCACTAGAGCCCCTATAAAGAGACCTTAATGCCTGTATCAAACCATCGCTCAACCTAAATGAGTTCAGTGTTTGCCATAACACAGTCCTGTCCACTCTGTCATAAGCCTTTTCCAAGTCCATGAACGCACAAAAAACTTTCTGTTTTTTTGGCCAAAAACTTCTCCGTATTCATGCGCATGGAACAACCTTGATCTGTATACCTGATTCTTTTTCTAAATCTCGCTTGCACATCCCAAATTGTTCCATCAGTTTCTTTCATAACTCTTTCAATTAACACTTTAGCATACAGTTTACCCATACTAAGCAAACTGACACCACGGTAGTTTGTAGTACTCCTGAATAGGAATTTGATCTCTTTTTAATAATAAAATGCAGTAATTTGCTCAATCGACCTTTACTTGCTAAATGATCGGCGAACTATACCAGTCGATGTTTTAAATATCCGCCACCCTTGATGCACCGTCCGAGCCTGGATGGACTGCGACGATGCGACCCACCTTCCAATTTAATGGCGGTGAATTCTCCTATTTTAGGAGTACCAGTGAATTTAACTTCAAAGATCCTTTACAGGAACGCCATTTCATCCGCAGTTGAAGCTCTGATATATATTCCTTGCTCCATCTAGCCCAAAAATGTTGACGTAATTGTTCTATTCGTTGAAATCGGGTTAAAGAGCTTACGGAATGATCTTTATAGTCTGGTGTCGGCAAGGAAGTCAAGGGGCGTCTTCAGGATTCGTTTACAAAGGTGTGAGTGGTCTGGAGTTAAGTATAGCCTCAATTTGTATTCATGTGGTATTTGGTTCCTCGTAAGTCAAATTACAATTGCCCAGCACTCTAACTAAATGATATTTAATGCATTTGACACCTGCCTCCGCAAGCCCAGCAAAATGGAGAGAATAAGACGGTATAAAATGGAAATTACTTCCTTCATTTGCCATTACCTCAGATAAAGAATTACAATACGTCTTAATAAATTTTGAAATGTCATTGTATCCGCCTACAAAGGAGGTACCATTATCCGAATAAATATTAAGAGGTTTCCCTCTTCTTGACATAAATATGCGCAAAGCTAATATGAAGGTATTGCTGGTTAAATCACCCACTAATGCAAGATGAATTGACTTAGTCACGAAGCAAATAAAAATAGCTATATACACCTTTATAATTTTACAACCACGGCCATGGCGAGAAACAGATTGAATTGGTCCCGCATAGTTTAGTCCAATATTTTGAAATGGAAAACCAGAAAGGATGCGTTCGTGTGGTAGGTTGCCCATTATTGGAGATATGGTTTTTCCTTTCATTCTATTACATCTTACACATTGTCGATAACAAGATCTGGCCAAATTACGACCTCTAATCGGCCAGTACATCTCTCTTATAGTGGCCAAAATTAGCTGTGGTCCCGCGTGCATTAACCTTATGTGCTCATAATTGAAGAGCAATTTGGTAAAATAATGAGTGGACTGTATAAGTATGGGATGTTTTTTGTCATAACAGTAATCGGAATTTTCAAGACGCCCTCCAACACGCATTATTTTATTATCATCGAGAAATACATTAAATTTATGCAACGGACTTTTAGTGGGTAAGCTTTTATTTTTAATTAACATGGTGTACTCCTCAAATGATTCACTCTGAGATATTCTTATAATAACATTGAGTGCGGTTTGCAACTCTTGATTGCTGAGAGGACCGTGAACGGATGGCTTTATACAATTATTAATAAAACGCAGCACATAAGCAACGGCCCGATTTAATCTAGTATATTTAGAAAAGCGTTTAAATTCTATTAATTTATTACCGTCTAAATCTTCATTGTTGTTAGAATGAAGTATTCCGTGGAGGATAACATTTGACGATTTAATCTCAGGCAACTCGTGATTAATACTTAAGAAATTTGCAGGCCAGTGAGAGACCTCTTTCTTTAAAAATTCAGGTCCTGACCACCACTTACTCATGGGTGAAATATCCTTACAACTCACACCGCGAGAAATATGATCGGCCGGATTACACTCTGTTATATATATATTATGTATAACCATAGGCAATAGCTGCCAGTATTTTTCTCTGATTAATAACCTTCTTGAATCTACAACAATTGTGTCTAAATTTTTACATAGAATAAAAACAATCTAACTTAAAGAAGTAAATTCTATTCCACAGATCTCTGAAAGAATTAACGTGGCAAAGGAATTAGTAGACAGGACGGTCACAACTGCACTTAAAAACTTGAAATGGAAAAGAGGTTTGCCGTTTTCTTGTTTCCATTTAATTAAAATGTTAATGAAGAGTCACGGCTGCAAGTGAACATAAAACGGACGTTTAAACTTTACAAATAGTACTCCACTTTTGTAAGTGATAAAGAGGCAAGGATGTAACAAAGACATAGTAAAAAGGATTAATAAGCATTATTCTATAGAATCAAAAATTTAGAAATAAGTTATGCTACGTACATTTTAAACGCTATTTATTTGTCACTGATTTTTTTTTATTATAAGTGTCGGAGACAAATATTTATTCATGTTGTTTATTATAAATATCACATCATTTTTTTAATTTAATCGTTAAATTAATTCTTAAATTCTTAAATGACCAGAACGTAGAAAAAATAACATTACCATTGTGGAGTGCATTACTCATGTTATTGTACTTCAATGTTTTTTTTTTTTTAATTTAAAATGTGGGTGACAAGCAGCACGCAGTCTATCATATAAAACGGACACACTTACGCATGGACACCTATACCTATATATACTCGTCATTGACCATACTTTTTAAGAATAAAGAAGAAAAACGTGCACGAAGCAAAGATAATAGTAAGTGAATGTTATGGCTTATAGACATTTACATTTGTGGTCGATTAAGGATTTAAGCTAAAATGCCTTGTTTGAAAAAAGTTGGGTCTCATTTTCACGAAATTTAACATACGAAGCACAGCAGCATTTAGCATATTACCCAGGTATTCTGTGGGGTCGTGATCCTTCCCGGTCAAGTCGACCCATTGGTGCTACAACCTCTAAATAGCTGCAGTCTGGCTATACTACGTAATAACGCCTACTATAGCACGTATATATACTAAACACGGCAGGAAAATTACATTAAACAGGTGTTCTGTACGAGCCGAATTATTTGTGCTGCCGTCATGCTAACACTCATACGTACTCTACCCCATATAAAGATATAAGTTGATAAATAAAATACCTGCATTACTACTGTAGTAAGTTTTAAATATTTTATTAATAAGGATAGGGTGTATTTTATTTGTTATTTACTAAAGGGGAACGGCAGATTTAGTACCGCATAGTTTTTTCGTTGTTTTGTTATAGAATTTGTACCAGATTTTTTTTTACTATCACACAACGCCATCTAGTCCCAAGCTAAGCAGAGCTTGTGTTATGGGTACTAGACAACTGATAAACATACTTTTAAATTTCTAAATACATAAATATTATAGATAAATAATATTAAGGCAACTAAGCTATTAATTTTCATGTAAGTTTTATATTTACTATAACTTGGGATTAATTAAAAATATCAATAAAAAGATTTTAATTAATAAACGTAATATAAGCGTAAACTAAACGCTATGAGGGCTACTGTTTTTGTGCTCACCAGTTGGCGCCACTGTCGAATAAGGTCCTGAAGTATAGCTGTCAAAGTTTGTTAGCAGCGCGGTCGTGAAAAGAAAGTTTACTTTTAAACCATATTTAATTAATACCTTAACACCGTACCGTATAAATACAGAGTATGCCTTAATGTTGCGCAGTCCCCTTTTGTTCAGAAAAAAAGGGAGGACATGTTTCCGAAGGATAAAACTGTTTCAAAGCAGTGATTAATAGCGATTTTCAGGGACAACTATACCCCTTCAAAACATTGGCGTGTTTGTAAAAAACATTTCAACCCTGACGATTATGCTTTACCTAAAGAACCAAATACAGAAAATCGTAAGTAATGATGTTCCTTATTCCTAGATAATATTAAGTTCATGCTTGTTTCAGGCACTAAATTTACCCTGACCTTGATAACCGAGCAAGTTATACTTACTTTCATCTATTGTAATATTTTGTTGAAAATTTTTCAGCTACTCCTAAACTAAAACCAAAAGCGGTGCCGATAGTCGATTTTGCTGGAACTATGAAAGTGAAGAGACAAAGAGAGAGGGGATATTGATAGAAAATTTGCAGAGAGAGCTCTTCAACGTCAAATGAAACGTGAAACTGCAACACTATGATTAAATACACAGGAAAATCAATGTGAAGAACATTTTGTAAGTAAATAAAAACTTTTCATACTCAATTATCACAGCGGTCTTTGTTGACATAAACTGCACCAGTCTCATTAAATGCCTATGTTAATAATGCTTCAAGGACTATTTTTACTGTGACAAATGATCTAATTTTCTTTTTAATTTCCAGACCTGAAGAAACATGTGAAAAAACAGACATTGAAAATTCAAATAAAGATGTCTCACTACAGTGCTTTTTATGCAAATGTGAAGAGAGCTTAACTAATACTGCCAATTTGTCAGATCATGAGAGTAATAGAAAAAGCACATTAAACATGTTCAGAATAGAAAATTTTAAAGAAAAGCCTGATATAGTACAATTTTACACTAGTTTTGATAATTATAACCATTTTATGTTTGTCTTCAAACTTTTCGGAGATGAAGTGAACAAATTAAAGTACTATCCATCATTACAGCCAGCTTGTGAAAAACATGCATTAACACCATCTAATCAACTTCATTTAACACTTAACACAATTCTTAACATGGATTAATGACCATTACTGCAAGTTTAAGGATCTAAATGTATGGGTATCAAAGGAAACAATTGATGAAAATGTAATGCATCGAAGAAAGACTAATAAATCTACAGTAATTATAGATTGCACTGAAATAAAAATTGAAAAAACACAAAATCCAGTTTCAACTTATTCTAATTACAAATTAGCGAACACACTGAAAGTATTGGTAGAAAATTCTGGCTCCGGGTGTGTGACCTTTCTTTCAGATGCATATGGTGGAAATGTCAGTGACAGAGAGTTATTTGAAAAGTGTGGTATCATTAATCAACTTCAAAAGGGGACATTATTCTCGGTGATCGTGGTTTTAATATACAGTATCTAGTATCTCATATGGATGTTACAGTAAACATGCCACAGTTACTGAAAAAAGGTGGTAATCGGTTTGATGCACTGGAGCGTAGAAAACTGTCATCTGAACTTATCAATGTTGAATGTTGAATAAAACTAAATTTACAGATTCTAGCGCATTTATTTAACTGATTTTACTTATTTTTAATTCCCGACGTTTCGGGTGCCTTACAGCAACCATGGTACGGGGGGGACTGAGATGTTTGACGGCCCAATGTCATTGTTAGCCCGGCTACCTTCAGTTTTTGAATATTAATTTTTTGGTCCGATTTACGCAAAACGAACTTGGTTCACTGCGTCAGAACAGTTATTTTAATTTTAGCAATGTTGCATATAAAACTTTTAAAATTAACATTATAATACGAAATATACCATGAAAGTTGTTACTTTTAATTATACAGTTTCTTGCTATTTGTTTTTTTTTTAGATTGCAGTTTACAACCGTACGTGAGTCTCTGTTACAGAAGGGAAGAATTAACTGTAATCCCTACACTCGGCAAGCAGGCTTATGATCGTCGACTAAGGTAAAATATCTCTTAGTCATTACTGACTCTCCCTTCAAATCGGAAGGATTCGTCAAGGAATGTATTGCTTCCTAGCAACCAAATACCTAGGGAAGAAGGTGGTAACGATCCAGATCCACTCACATGTAAAAAAGGAAACATAGCACCTAGAAAATTAATATCAGTCTTTATAAGTACGCCACTAAAATGAATCTTTGCACAAAAAAACTTGGAAATTTTACTATAATATTGGTGTAATTTCAAATACTTTAAGACAAGCATTAACATAAAGGTGAACACTACACATTCAATCTCGATACCTATGAACAGCATATTGTTGAAATTGAAGATCCCAAAATTCAACGAATAGGCCACGAAAGCTGGATACTGTACGTAAAAAACCATAGGCTACTTACCAGAAAGTGCGACAATGACCTCACACATGAATCATTATGTGGTATTTATATAATCACCGTAGACGATCTCTTTGAAGGAGAAATTCTTTGAAGGAGATGACCTAAATTACCGAATTTACTCTATGATTAACTTACCAGAACTGAAGATCTCAAAGCCTCACAGCGTCAGTGAAGTGAATTTAAAAAGTATAAATCTTGACGAAACTAAACAATTGGTCCAACTAGTAAAACTTGAGAAAATATACCTATACCATATACCAGTGAAAATGCAAGTGCTATTAACTTTTAGAGTGTTGGTTTAGGGATGATAATCTTGTACGTACTTCTACCAATTATTTTCTGTATTTTAATTGCAATAATAAGATATTGTTCATCTTAAGACCATCCGTTGGGAGGCACTATTGAGGTCATTGCGCATAGTGCTTAAGTCCTCCAACGATTCTGCCATAAGGACTATATCGTTGGTAAATCGAAGGTGAGTGATGTACTCGCCATTGATGTTAATACCGTATCCTTTCCAGTCCAGTAGCTTGAAAACGTCTTACAATGCAGCGGTGAAGAGTTTCGGGGAAATTACGTCACCCTGTTTTCGTCACCTCTCTGCAGTTGGATAGGTTTCGTACTCTGGTTCTGTACTCGGATAGCCATCGTAGCCCTACTGTACAAACACTTCAGCACTTCAATATACCGACAGTCAACTTGGCACCGCTGAAGAGACTGTAGCACCGCCCAAATTTCGAGGGAATGAAAAGCTTTCTCATAGTCCACATACGCCAGGCAAAGTGGCAGATTGTACTCTTTGGACTTCTGTACAATTTGCCAAAGTATATGTATGTGGTCTGGGAAGTCGTCGATTCGTAAACTTTGCGAGACGATTCGTAAAGACTCTCGAAAACAGCACGTAGACGCGGCTCAGAAGGGATATCATTCTGTAGCTCTTCAAGAGGTCATTGTCACCTATCTTGAAGAACAAGACTACCCCACTTCTGCTCCACGCCTCCGGAGTAGTGCCACCATGGAGGACGGAATTAAAAAGCCTCTGAAGGACTTCAAGTACCGGTTTTCCACCCGCTTTCAGAAGCTCCGCTGTAATTCCAACCTCGCCCGGGGACTTGCCCTTTTTAACGTGCTGGAGAGCCATTCTAATCTCGCTCAGACTGACGTCCGGGATATCATCGGAATAGTGTCGGATAAAATTTGCTCTTGAATCGTTACTCACAATTGCGTGTGGCTCCAACGATGATGTGTACAGCTGCCCATAGAACCTCTCAATCTCACTCAGAATCTCAGGTGTCCCGGAAACGATGCTGCCACACTCAGTCTCAGCATTGACAGTTGGCTCTTACTGGCAGACAGATCTCTGGCAAATACTTTGGAGCCCTGGTTCCGCTCGATCGCTTCTTCAATACGAGCAGTATTAAAGTTACGCAAGTCTCGCTGCATGCATTTGGAGATCTGTCTCTTCACTTGCCTGTATGCTGTCAAATCTGCAGCCTCATCTCCCGTCTAACAGCCATGAGATTAAGAGTGTGATTGGAGAGTTTTTGTGTTCTTCTGCGGCGGGTTTTGCAAAACTTAGCCCCGAACGCATGAACAGTTTCCACGAGCTTGTCATTCATATCGTCCACTGCATTGCAATCTTCTAGGCATTGAACGGGGTTACATCATTATTCCATAGAAACAACAATTTATAAATAAGTTATGCTACTTTTTTGACTTAATTATTTTTAACGCTATTTATTTGTCATTGAATTTTTGTTTTTATTTTAAGTATCGTAAACAAATATTTATTTATGTTATTTATTATGTATATCACAACAATTGTTTTATTTAATCGTTAAATTAATTCTTATATTCTTCAATGAACAGAACGTAGAAAAAATAACATTATCATTGTGGAGTGCATTTCTCATTTTATTGCACTTCCACGTTTTTTTTTATTTTTATTTGAAAGTATGGAAGACAAACAGCACGCAGTCTATCATGTGAAGTGAATGTTATGGCTCACAGACATTTATATCTGTCGTCGATTAGTGTTTTGGAACTGCTAGTGTTAAACTCAGTAGACTACGTCCCAATATCAAACGTAGAGCAGACTCTCCATAGATCGCGTAGACTACTCATAGAACTACCACGAACTGCGACCCAAACGTCGCAGGCGCAACAAACATTGACACTAGACCAGCATCAAATAGTAAAAGCACAAGTAGGCTAACGCATGCGATAGCATCCGTAGGCGATGATGACGCGTTGCACCATACACTGTGTACAAACCGTACACCCGCGTACCTAGGCGGTTATCACCGCAGAACATCGGCTTACACAACCTAAGTAGTCAGAGGGGGAACCCGGACTTCCCCACTAGGATAGCGGTTAGATAGCTACAAAAACCCCCACAGAAGCAACATGATGATTGGTAAACATACTGAACCATAACACATCATCATCATCATCATCCTCATCACCATTGCCTCCACGTGGCCGCCGAGCTTCAGCACGGTCTTTAATTTTATTTTTATTTGCGGATGTTTTAATTGGAAATTACGATTTGAATATAGAAGAAGTATTCAAGGAGATATCACATTTTAATGGTTCCTCGTACCACATAGGTGAGCTATGTACACCAGAAGAATCTATAGAGAATTGTGATAAGTGAAATGTTACTCATCACGCAAACTTTGTATGCATTACGTATTACTTCGGTACAATTCGCCTATTTATTATTATTATCCAAAATCATAATTAAAATAGTTTTCGTTTTAATATTCGCTTCTTAAACATACGTGTGGCTATTGAAATTAAAAAATATGAAAATTAATATTAAGCCCAAGCATAATCTTGCAAGACTTCAGGACACAGTAACTTATTTCTGCGTAGATCGAACCATAAGTAATAATTAAAACCCTTAAGGTACTCCGGGTTAAAACTGATATCGGGACGTCCGCCAAGTCAGTTCTCCGTAGCCGTGGGTGGTGAAAAGCATCCAAAACGTTGGGAATTAAAAATAATAATTTCCTAGGTATTACGTGTCGTGAACACATTCTCACCTAGGTATTTGGTTGCCAAGAAGCAATACATTTTTTGAAGAATCCTTCCG